GAAAAATATGTTTATTTCATATTATGATACTTGATGATACCTACAAATTAATGACAACTTTTATTTAACATTAAATTAAATTGAATTTAGAAACTACATTTCTCAATTAACTCAATTAACATATGAAATAATGTTTAAAAAAATATCGCTGTCCATAATAACTATTTAACATGTCTAACGGATGCTAAAAACATAATTTAATAAGCTTTACAACCATAAAAAACATATGTTAGCTATCTAGCCCTGGCTAAACAATATCAAAGTGTAGGATATACCCAATAAGCAGAACTTGAAATTAGGGTACCGAAATAGACAAGGTAAATGATCAAATTATCGGTTCTTAGAGTGGCCGAGAGAGTAGTCAGAGAACAATCTGAAGTCAAACAAATACAGAGATACACAGATATGATTAGCCAGGTCAAGTCAAGGATAACAGAAAGCAGGAATGTTAGGACGAATTGAGTCAAAACCCAGAATATCACACAATAAATACACTTGCTACAGAGAAACCACACCAGGGCAATGAAGAGCAGCATCCATAAAATGATGCTTTAACATCTTGTGATCATTTGATAGAAGGAAGTAGGAGGACAGTATCCTGCGCCAGAATTGATGCCAGAATGACGCATGGAGTGGTGAACGCGGCACACAGTAAGAGGTAACCTTACAACAAACAAATTAAATAGAGAATGACACAATACTGCCTACTGATGAAACCATTTTTGAGTCTAAAAGTCCCCACAAGGTCAGGGAACTTGAGATTGGTCCTATCTTTCATAAAAAAAGTGTGCATGAAGTATCCAGAAATTCATAGTTAATGGAGAGGAGATGGGAGAGGTCCCTAGACATACTAAAGAAGAACCAAGGAAGTTCAAACAGATTTCTCCTTCCAATGCAAGTAGGACAACAATGTCGACAAACTATGTTTTAAGTACATATATAGTGCTAAACAGTACTTGGTGTTACTTTAAAGAGCATAAAATGTTACATATGTTGTGCTACTCAAAATACTACCAAATGTATTTAAATTTTACTTAGTATTTAATGTGACCTACCTGGGCTCTGCTGATATGCTGTCAGCATGGTAATAAAGACTACATCTAAGGGTGCCATCAGTGGCTCCAGCCTCTAAATGACATGGTTGCAAACAAATCACAGTATGCATCTGCATGCTAGGAAATAAGGCAAGGAGGCTTGTGCAGTCGCTAAATTGTGTCCTGAGAACCACGTTAGTAATGGATGGACCCATCTTCAGGTATGGCATTTATATCTTTAAATGTATTCATTTCCTGGCATAAATGTATCTACACGTACTGGTATTTGAACATGTCATCCACGTAATCATGGGGGGATTCAGGGGCAACATTGGGCAATGCCGACGGAAAAATAATGAACATTTTTCACTATATATATATATATATATATATATATATATATTATTTTGATACCGCCCCTACACTCCCGTTGTCCTTTTGGCACCCAGCATCCACACTACTGAACGAACTAAAGAAACGCTCCAAAGAGAAATTTCTTTTACAATATTATATTTTTTTTACATTTTAGAATATATATCCCCCTTGAAAACATGCATGCATTTAATAATACATGTATTACATTGAGGATATATCTAAAAATCACTTGCAAAAGCTGCAGATGTCTTGTCTGCTGCCTTTACAAGCCCTACTCTTTTAATCCCGCCCAGATTTTCTGTGGCTGTCCAATCACAGACTTCCCTTTGTAGCTCAATGACAAGTCTTTGCAAGGCAGGTACTCTGGGTAATTGCTGCCTCTTGAGTTCAGTGCAAATAAGCTAACCAAACCAGGAAGTAACAGGACCAGTTGTCTAATTGACAGCCAGGGAAGGGTAACACGTGTAATTTATAAATGTGCCAAATTCTATTGAAATCTGCATTTTTTGTAAAAATAAAAAATATGACACACTCTTTATTCATAAAGTCCTGGCCACAGCAAGCTAAAATACTTCAGGTATGTGGAGTGTACCTTTTAAATGTAACATGATGGGGGTCAATTTTAGGAGCCTTGATTTGAAGAAACAATGGGGGGATGGGATACAAAGCAGCAGTGAAACAGCATCCCAAATGACACTGGTGATATACAACTTGAGTTCGTGTTCTCCATTCCACATATGTATGTATGTCTCTAGATTGTACACTTGTTTGAGTAAGGTTCTCATCAACGTATTGTTTCTGTAACGTTTTTTAATTGTCTCATTTATTGTCAAATTTCCCCCTTTTATAATATTGTAAAGCACTGCGGAATAGGTTTGCACTATATAAATCCAAATAATAACAATGACTGCATGTCTATATGACTGTGAATGTGTCTGTCTTCGTGTGACAATGTGTTTGTAATATTGCAAATCCTGAAGTGCATGCCTTTGTGTGTGAGTGCAGTGTCTGTTTATGCTTGTGAGTGTTTGGTGATTGGTTTGTATATATTAGTAGAGGGGTAATATGGAATGTGTGTGACTGTAAAAAAACACGTCATGGTAATGGCAGTGTGCATGAGTGTGTTATGGAACTCCACATTAATTGTTATGAATTTCAGTGTATTATAAAACACTGGGGTAATATGCAGTGTGCTTGGGTGTTACATTATTACTTTACAACAGAAAGCCAAAGTGTTTTATTGCAGCAGAGCTCACAATATTACGCTCACATTAACAGCATGGAAGGTACACTGATTAGTCGCAACATTAAAATCACGTGCCTAATAATGTGTAGGTCCCCCTCGTGCTGTGAAAAAAGCTCTGATGCGTGCCCTGTGATATCTGGCACCAAGACATTAGTAGCAAATCCTTTAAGTCCTGCAAGTTGCGAGTTGGGGCCTCCATGAATTGGATTTGTTTTTCCAGAATATCTCACAGATGATCAATCTGATTGAGACCTGGGGGATTTAGAGGCCAAGGCAACACCTTGAACTCTATGTCATGTTCCTGAAACCATCCTTGAACAATTTTTGGGTGGTAGGGTGCATTATCCTGCTGAAAGACGCTACTGCCATCAGGGAGCACCATTGCCATGAAGAGGTGCACATGGTTTGCAACAATCTCTAGGTAGGTGGTACGTATCAAAGTAACATCCACATGAATGCCAGGACCCAAGGTTTCCCAGCAGAACACTGCCCAGAGCATAAAACTGCCTCTGCCAGCCTTCCTTCTTCCCATAGTGCATCCTGCTGCCATCTCTACTCCAGGTAAACAACACATACCCACCCGTCCATCCATCTGATTTAAAAGAAAATGTGATTCATCACACCAGACAACCTTCTACCATTGCTTCATGGTTCAGTTCTGACACTAATATCCCTATTAAAGGCATTTTTGGCAGTGAACAGGGGTCATCATGGGCACTCTGACCAGTCTGCGGCTGTCTGCACTGTACCATACACGCCAAACTCTGACGTGCTGTGTGTTCTGACACTGATCTGTCATGGCCAGCATTACATTTTTCAGCAATTTGAGCTACAGTAGCTCTTCTGTGTGATCGGACCAGATGGGCTCATTCTCACTCCCCACATGCATCAATGAGCCTTGGGCACGCATGAAGCTTACTTAAATTCACCGGTTGTCCTTCCTTGCACCACTTTGGATAGGTACTACCCATTTTTTCTGCTTCCTACAAATGGAATTCAAGAACTGACTGTGCACTTGTTGCCACATTTATCCCACCCAATGACATGTATAATTGTTACAATATAATCAATGATATTCACTTCACCTGTCAATGGTTTTAATGTTGTGATCAGTCTATAGTCCAATATGAGGCTGTACAAAATACTGTCGTCAATTCGAACCCAATATTGTGACTCAGAAGAATGAGAGTTGATAACTGTGTATTGTCACTTCTATATATTTATACACAAACATACTATGCTATGATTTTTTATGCTCTCTTTTAGATTCATTATGCTACAGGAGCTTAATGTTGTCTGACTTTTTCAAATGATTATTTTTTGTTTATTCCATTGATGGGTTGTAGAGTGCCTGTACCCACAAGTGATTTAGTTGCAAGGTGTTAACATTTTTTTGGATTATTTTTTTTTCCACTCTTGCACTTTATTGTTTAGTTCTTTTTTTTTGGTTGGTTACTGAACTGTCCATACTGAGCCAGTTCATCTCTTTTTTGCAGAAGGACTAACTTTACCAGTGCCCCAAAGGAAGTGGAGACCACCAAACAACTGTCCCATCAATATTCCAAGATCTGCTTCTGAACTGCAAGGGTGAGAGAGAGGGACAAATGGATATGTGTCTCAGAAAGGAGCTGTCACTAGAACATAGGGATTGTTGGGATATACAAATTACATTACAGGAATCATTGACCCTAATTGCTTGCTGACAGCTTTTGTATGCATGTGGTTGCTGTCTCAAATAACTATCTGTCCATAATGATTAAATAATCCGATAATTCACTTTAATTGATATTTTGTACTGGAGCCTAATCAAGTATCCAATGGCAAAAGTATTAACTGTGACACATTAATGATAAGAAGAAAAATAGATTTTACTGTTTAATCCTTTTTACACAGGTCTGTAGTCAGTTAGGAATAGGAAATTATACTTCCATTAAACCATTAAAGGTAGAGTCAAGAGAAGAGGGTTTTCTCAGAAAATACGTGAACTGCATTATACAAGGATAGATTTTATAATAGATTAGATATGTTTTTATAATAGATTAGATATGTTCTTTATTGGGAACAAGATTAGATTATAATAAACTAGATGTGTTCCACTTTATTGGGAACAGATTTTTGGGCTTAAGCTCAGTACAACGGGGTGGAGATGGGGGGGACGGCAAGCTCAGAACAGAGGAGGTATGTAATATTGATAAAAATTCACAAAAAGTACAAATGACTCATGATAATATTAAATGTATGCTTACTAATGCAAGGAGCCTATATAACAAAATGGGGAGACTAGAGGCAATAGCATACACTAAACAATATAATATAATAGGCATAACAGAAACATGGTGGGATGAGACACATGACTGGGCAGTTAATTTAAATGGGTACACGTTATTTAGGAAGGATAGGAAAAACAAGAAGGGTGGTGGGGTATGTTTATATGTCAACCATGAGTTTTAGTCAAATCTTAGGCATGTGGAGTGTGACGAGGAAAAGGTGGAGGCTTTATGGGTAGATATCTGCTTGGGGCAAACAAAGGGAAATCAGTTATTGGTTGGGATATGTTATAAACCACCTAATGTAAATATTAATGAGGAAGAACAGCTGTTAGAGCAAATTGGGAAAGCTGCAAATCGGGGTAACACGTTAATTATTGGAGATTTTAATTACCCGGACATAAACTGGGACAGAGTGACTAGTACTTCAGCAAGGGGAATCAGGTTTTTGAATATGTTAAATTACACCTTCATGTCACAACTGGTACAAGCACCAACATTCAAGTAGGGGAGCATTTGGGAAATAGTGATCACGATAAGGTAATTTTTAAAATATACTCAAAAAAGAAAATGCACGTGGGGTATACTAAAACATATCATTTTTTAAAAAGCCAATTTTAATAAGATTAGGGCAGCTCTATAAGATATCGACTGGTATAAACTCCTTAGTGAAAAAAACCCAGTGAGGATAAATGGAACATCTTCCAACAAATATTAGAAAGGTACTTTTCTCAGTAGGTACCATTGGGTAATAAATATAAAAGAAACAAATTGAAACCAATGTGGCTTAGTAGAGAAGTAAAACAAGAGATTAAAAGTAAGAAAAGGGGGCGGAGCTAGCGAGCTACCCAAGCAGACGCACGAGCACTGAGCTCCAGGAGAAATCCACCTACAAAGAACGAAATCGGCAGTTCCATAAAGCCCAATTGCTACCAACGCGGGTCAGAACATAATGGGACGCAAATCCAAGCAGCTCCACCACGAGGCGAAGCCGTCCTCTCAAAATATCGGAGATTTACTCAGAGCAACGCCGCGGCCGTGGCCTGCCATGATGGCGCCCGCGCGGGAAGCCCCTGATCACTCCTCAGATGACAGTATGGAGGAGGCCGCTGAAGCAAGGAGCACTAGATGGGAGAGTACCCCACCTCCTGAACAAATGCCGGCAAGCAAAGCAGACATCATCCATCTGCTCAAGGAGCTTAAAGCTCAATCAGCAGCAGACGTGGCCCTAATCAGGGAAGATCTGGGTGCCATGTCAGCCCGCATACAGGCTGTGGAGGTGAATGAAGCTGCCACAACAGCCAAAATTGAAACCCTGCAAAGGGAAATGGCCCAAATGAAGAAAACCAGCACTATATTAGAAAATAAAGTGGCTGCACTGGAAGACGCTAAGCGCCACCGGAACCTCAGGTTAAGGGGGATACCAGAGGCTGTGCAAGACTCTGAGGTCGCACACTACCTTCGCCGATTACTAGCCTCTCTGCTATCACAAGCTAAAGCAAAATCCATCTTGCTGGAGTTTCACTTTCGCATACCCAAGCCACCAAGAGCCCCAGCTGACGTCCCACGGGACCTACTTATCCGCTTTCAATCTCTCCGTGGCAAACTACTAGTACAAGAAGCAGCCCGAGACACTAACACATATGAGTTTGAAGGTTCTGAGCTATCTTTCTACAATGACCTCTCTAGGGCAACAGTTACATGGCGACACTCCATGAAAGAAGTCACCCAACTACTGAGATCCAAGGGGATACAATACAGATGGGGACCAGGGTGCAGACTCTCTGTCAACAATGACGGCAAAAGAGTTCACATCACCCAAGCAAGTGACTCTGTAGCATTTCTACAAACCTTGGGAATATCCCTGGAGGCCACTACAAGCACTACCTCAGCAGCAAAGACATCGGCGAACATGTCCAGGATATGGGACGTCAAGAGAATCCAACCCTTTATCCCAAGAACGAGTGGTGCTGCGACCACCCTTCAGCCGAAAACCTGAATATCGCAAGCACAATATAACTTGGACTGCGTGTCACAGATGTAGGCCCCTTAGGCTATCATCCTCAGACATTACTCTATGTCCGCTCCCACTTTAACAATATTTCTCCAGGGGTCCGCCGCCCAATAGACCACCTGAGAACCGCATTGCCATGTACCTCCCAGTTTGCTCATTCCCCCCCAAAAGGAAGCTATCTCCAACAAGCAAATGTTAATTTTTCTTACTAATTCCATGCAACCACAACTAGAAATCTAATGTATAACTATTTGTATTTCACTGTACTTATGCTTTGCCTAGACTGTTATGTTTACCTGCTACCTATGACACTGTATGCAAAGGTTGCATTTAAAATGTAGCAAAACTATGAGAGATGATAACTATACACATGCTATGCTACAATAAAAATTATAAATTATAAAAAAAAAAAAAAAAGTAAGAAAAGGGCATTCAAAGCATTTAAATTGGACAAATCAGAGGCATCCTATATAAGATATAAGGAAGCCAATAATGCTTGCAAAAAGGCAATTAAAGTGGCTAAACTAGAAAATGAGAAATTGATAGCTAAAGAATGCAAAACAACCCCCAAATTTTTTTTCAAGTACATCAATTCTAAAAAAACAAAAAATGAAAGTGTAGGTACACTGGACACAGAGATGGGTCTGTTAGTTAATGAGGACCAGGAAAAGGCAGAAATTTTAAATAACTATTTTTCTTCAGTATATATTAATGAGGATCCTATGGCAAGAGATGTGCAAATGATTGCTGCAAAAAACTTGCAGATAACTTGTGATTGGATGACTCAAGACAAGGTGCTACAGCAGGTAAAGAAAATTAATGTAAATAAAGCTCCGGCCTGACGGTATTCACCTACGAGTACTTAAGGAGCTAAGTTGGGAAATAAGTGAACCTCTGTATTTAATATTTCAAGATTATTTTGTTTCACGTATTGTACCGGAGGATTGAAGGAAGGCAGATGTTGGTCCTATATTTAAAAAGGGTTCAAAATCCTTGCCTGGAAATTATAGACCTGTGAGCTTAACTTCTGTGACTGGGAAAATATTTGAAGGGCTATTAAGGGATAATACTCAGGAATTCATTGGGAAGAACTTTATTAGCAATAATCAGCATGGTTTTATGAACTAACTAACCGTATTGCAACTAATGAACTAAACTAACCGTATTGCATTCTACGAAGAAGTAAGTAGAAGTATAGATCAGGGTGTTGCAGTGGATGTGATCTACTTGGATTTTGCCAAGGTATTTGATACGGTTCCTCACAATAAGTTAGTCTTCAAACTAAAAGAAATTGGTCTAGGTGAATATTCTTGTTCTTGGGTAGAACATTGGCTTAAGGATAGAGTACAATTACTTGTCATTAATGGTACATTTTCAAGGTGGACAAAAGTGGTAAGTGATATACCTCAGGGTTCTGTTTTGGGACCCCTTCTATTTAAATATGTATAAATGATCTTGCAATAGGCATTGAAAGCCATGTTTTAGTGTTTGCAGATGACACAAAACTTTGTAAAGTAATAAAATGTGATCAGGATATTGCCTTGCTGCAGAGGGATTTGGATAGATTTGGGGACTGGGCAATAAAATGGCAGTTGAAATTTAATGTAGAGAAATGCAGTTATGCACTTCGAGTTCAAGAATTCACAAGCAACTTACAACCTAAATGGCAGTGAATTAGGGATAACCACACACGAGAAGGATTTGGGAATTGTTATAGACAACAAATTAGGCAGCAATATGCAATGTCAATCTGCAGTTGCTAAGGCCAGTAAGGTTTTGTAATGTATAAATAAGGGCATAAATTCTTGAGATGAAAATATAATTTTGCCTCTTTATAAATCGCTGGTAAGACCATACCTTGAATATGCTGTGCAATTTTGGGCACCTGTTCTAAAGAAGGATATCATGGCACTAGAAAAAGTACAGAGACGAGCTACAAAATTGATAAAAAGGAATGGAGCATTTTAGTTATGAAGAAAGGTTAAAAAATGTAAATCTCTTTAGTTTGGAAAAACCGCACCTCAGAGGGGATATGATAACTTTATACATATATATTCGGGGCCAGTGCAAACCATTATCTGGAAATCTATTAATAAACAGGGCTATATATATAGGTCACGAGGTCACGCATTTAAGCTGGAAGAAAGGAAATTTAATCTAAGGCAAAGAAAAGTTTTTTTTTACAGTAAGAGCAATAAGGATATGGAATTCTCTGCCTGAAGAGGTGGTTTTATCAGAGTCCATACAGATGTTTTAACTGCAATTGGATATAAATACTTGCAAGAACATAACATACAGGGATATAATTTCTAATTAGTGGGGTAATAGCTGCTTGATCCAAGGAGATATCTGACTGTCATTTTGGGGTCAAGAAGGAATTTTTTCCTAGTTTGTTAGAAAGTTGGAAGCGCTTCAGGCTGGTTTTTTTGCCTTCTTTTGGATCAATGGCAAAAACATATGTGAGAAAGGCTGAACTTGATAAACGCAAGTCTCTTTTCAGCCATTTTAACTATGTACACTGATACGGTAACTAGCATATGATGTATCCATATGAAAGTAAAGAGACTGCCATTGTTTTGGGGGAGGTTTTGAATTTGCATCCAATCAGACAGACTTGAAAGTGCTGCACTGCACTGTACAGCATTCACTGCTAAAAGTGTTAAATGAAAAAAACAAAACAATCACAGTGGTTTATTTTGGGGTAATAGCAGTAAATCATTAAGAAGATGTTTCGATCAACATAACATCTTTAGCTTTTTGTAGTGATTATGGTGGAACAAGGTTATGGGTGAAGCCCTGCAAGTTTTTGTTTAACCATTGCAAAGTTCACCGTAATTTCACCCAATATGTTGGAGAATATTTTAATGCAGTGATGATGCCTTGCATGTTAACGCAATGCCATGAAAGGTTGTAATTGTTGGGGAAAAGAGGACTTGGTTTTGCTAAGTAGCTGCTAATTCTTTGGTATGGTCAAATCTGATGAAGTCCTCCTCCGCACCAGCATATCCATCGTCTCAGCGCAAGCATTAGCAACCCGTCCAAGCCCTACCTGTAACAGAACTACAATTTTACAAGTTTCCATTTACCAACTGCAGCATCCAATTCTTGCAGAGCTGAATTTGGAAAGATATCAGTACAGATTAAGTGAATAAAGCAGGTTCCTTGGTCCTTGACGGTAGCATGTTAACTGCATAATTATTGTTCTGTTACTATGTACTCATAATGGGAAGCCTGCAAATTGAAATCTAATTGGATGAATCATTTATAAGTAATACCAGTTTCATAGATACCTCAAATCACCTTTTTAACAACTCAGTGGTGCTAGTAAACCCGCAGGCTCTCCAATAACCAGTTAATGTCCACATTTTCACAAATAACTATGAACTTTTAACTTCCCACTTTTTAAATGGATTAAATGACTCTTTGAAGTGAGGAGTGAGTCAATGATCTACGCAAACAGGTATATATATCAAGCCAGGCTTGTGAGGTCCATAAAATCTGTACATATCTTCACGGTTTCCAATTTCCTGAGGTTAGGGAGAAGCTGACCAGCTGGGACGATTTATTTGAGCTGTGATAATTAAAGCAGTGTTTGCTCAGCTACTGAGAATTCAGATGCAAAGCATGTGGGATTGCCACTAGATATCACATATGCCATGCGATTCACCGGCTTTCCTAGATATGATCACAGTACTCACACCACTTGTAGAATAGACCAGTGACAATATTTCAGGATTATTGCAGACGAAAGGTATTGCCTATAAGCCATTTTAACCCCTTCAGGGGACACAGACATATCATGACTGTCACTAGGGTAGCCATATCAACCATGTTTTCTGGACACATATCAGTTATAGAATGCTGCTGGCCATTACATTAAAAAGGGTGACCTGCAGTTTGTAGAATTCACGTGCTTTAGAAAGGAAACTAACGAATGCCTTTATATAAACTAAATGTATGTCTTAATCTTTTATAAATGTTCTTTAACCCCTTAAGGACACATGACATGTGTGACATGTTATGATTCCCTTTTATTTCAGAAATTTGGTCCTTAAGGGGTTAAACCAGTGGAAATGCTTCCAACCCTAACAGCTTCCCCCAAAACTGTGTCTACGTGTTCCTTTGTAAATATGTATTTTGATGACTTTTAAAACTCACTCTGGACTGTATACAATTGGCAATGTATACAAAAGGGAATTGCAAATATTATGATAAAACAGCCAAGCTGCAAATTTAGTAGACTTGGAAAATTCAGCCTAAAATATTGAAGCCCCTTGTCATTTCTCCACACTTCCCATTTTAATTATTAAACGACAATATCCCACTTTAATAGGTTCATCATTTATCAGAAGTAATGGTATTATACAGCATGACAAACTACAGAGCTGCTAATAATGTTACTGCCGAGTTGTACATTGACTGATCATTTTAAAATTTGTATTGTTATCTGGCTCCTAAAATATTCAAATTAGCTCCTGATTTTTTTTAAACACTTGTCTGCCCCTGCAGTGTTATCATAGCTCTGAATTCCCCAGCACTTTCTGCAGTTAACTTTCATTTATTCATTTGCACATATTTATATTGTGTGTCATTAATTCCCCTCCCACGTGCTTGCATCAAAATTATATATAGGGTTATTTACTAAGGTGGGAATTCAAGTGGATTTTAAGTGTAAGGCCAACATAGCCAAACTGAGAGCATTTTTTTCCCATTTGGTTATTTGGGGGGTTATGTTTAAAATCCACTTTGATTTCTCACTTCAGTAAATAACCATGATAAGATCACACAATTTTCCAGAAGTCCTAAACGTCTGCCCGAGAGCTGCAGGTACGTTACTACACCTAGAGACTGTAATGGTCCCTTCCTGTAAGTTTTCTTGTAATTGTCCTATTTATAGTTACATCCCCCCTCTCATAATATTGTAAAGCGCTACGGAATCTGTTGGCCCTATATAAATAGTAATAATAATAATAATAATAATGTTAGCAGAAGGCCAGTTCTGACAGTGCAGCAATGTCTCCTTTATTTAAACGCATTTAATAAAGACAGCATTGTTGTCACTTTACGTTTCCGAATGAATCATTTGCAGCAAGTTTCTATCTCTATCATTCATTGACTCATCACCTAAACTCCCTTTCCAGCTGTTCGTTAGACATTTCCAGTGACTCACAATTCATTTCTGACACCTCTATCTCCGTCTGCTGTCCCTGTCCATCCTAGCTATGACACAGGGCTCATGGCACTGACCTGCAGCAGAGTTCATGTCCGCAGTGAGGGGGACCTCCTGATCAGCAGACTTCGCATCCATCCTCATCCTCACAAAAGATTGACTCACCACTAGGGATCAGCGAGTTTTCTATTTTAGGGCTTTTGTCAAAAGTAAACAAATGTCACCCTTTCACGTGGTCTCATCCCAAGAACAATCCCCACCCTCCCTCAGCAAATCACAGGCAGCAAGGCGGCGAGGGGGAGACAAGTCTAGGGCGAGTGTGTGTGATTAGTATCCACACAGGGAGTCACTCATGTAGTGAAGCAGCAACTTGCATCAGTGACAGCGCAGCCTCCAGCAAGGGACACTTTGAACTGACAAAGCAGTGTCCCCTAATGACAGCAAAGTGACAATACCTTGGTCAAGTGGACAGCTGTCTCTTCAGGCTGTGACTAAAAGAATTTACTGAGTGCCACCTCATCCAGAAAGTCAGGGGAGCAGATTCATCCTACATCAGATGAGCGGAGTCAATCACTGTAATTTGTCCTCCATTCTTAGGAACATTTCCCCCACCTTCCTTTTTTGTTTAAGTTCATTTTTCCAATATTTTTTCAGTTGCCTTTTCCCAATTCCTGTTCTTTCTTTAAGCTGTTATTTGCAACACGTTCCCATTCTTTCCAGCCAGTACTATACGTCAGATTATCCCTCTCTCTCCCCTCTGCTTTCACTCACACACTTTTTTTTTCTCTCCACTTTTCATAATACTCAGCAAGTATCTCTGTGAGTGGGAGGGGTGATGGGAGACTCCGTTTGCTTGCTGGTGGCAATGAGACAGACTGCCTTTACTGCCACTGCTACCATACATATTTAGACAGGTCCCCAGCGAGGGGAACTTTTCTAAACATTGGCCTCTTATGCAAGGAAAGAATATCATAGGTCTGCCCTAACACTGCCGTGCTGTCTGGTGGCAGAGAAAGTTTATTCTCTTGGGGGATAACAAAAAAATTATTCCGCTTGCTATTGAAGTATCTGTTTGCGCTGTGTTTACAGTGTAGTATATGCAGCGATACCTAATAGTTGTATAATTTTTTTTTTCATTATCTATTAATTTTAACATTTGACACAAATTAATTTGGATGTTGAAACTATCTACATCAGTGATGGCCAAATCCTCAAGTGAGCAAAGCATCATAGGAGTTGCAGTTCTCCAATAGCTGGAGTTCTACCTCTGGCCTCCCAATGCATACACCGTTCCCTTGTCCCTCATTACCTTTTCATTTCAATAACAGGACATCTGAGCAATACGTGAACCCTCTTTCCTGTACGTCTGACATTAGAAGTTAAAGATCTATAATTAACAAACACAAACAAATAATATGCTCGGTTCAACAAGTTTTGATTATACACAAACATAATGAGGATTTTCTTTTGACAAGCAGGTAGATACCACAAAACCCCCCCCCCCAAAAAAAATAAAACGAATACAAAACAAAAGGTACAATGTGAAATTTGATAATCTTGTTACCTCCGATTACCTGAATACCACAATAGGAGTAAATACATTAAAGTATCAGTTTAGCGGAATTGTGCGTAATTCGTTCTGTACAGTGGAGCCGTTGAAGAGGAATTGTGGGGGGTAATTGTTGTATCACCATCTCTCATATACGTCAATCAGGCAGAAATATCTCTTTCTGCTGTTTGGAGAGCAAGCAGCCTGTCTAGTTTATAAATGCACAGTACAAGGCGCCTGTGTGTATACCATTCAATACAATCAGTGGCTCTGCCGTGCAATAAAGATAAACATCACTTATCCGACTTTGGTTCTACCTTTAACTAAAATGTTTTCCCAACAGATGACCTTGGGGGGAGTGGTGACCTGTGAGGGACAGTAGCAGCTGTGAAGTAGGAGCTGAAAGCCAGATCTGAGATTTAAAGGTCACTATATCGTGTTTATCATTCTATCTAATGCACAACCACTCAGTTTTTGCACATACATGGGACGTATATGAATCTGCACATGGTCCATTGTGCCCTGATTTCTACAGGCATTTAAATTGAATCATTCTAGCACTGATACGGTTAAACGATAAAGGCATGCATGTGAACACCGTTCTTTTTTTATTCATGCATATATGAATATTTTTTATCATAGTCACAAACTAACTAGTGATTACTTTTAACTTGTACAATGCTGGACTGCTTTCACATAACATTTGGGGTCACATAGTTTTATTAGAACATGCACATTTGCTGGCTAACTTTTACTGAACTAAGTGGAAACTATGCCTTTATTGGGTCCATTAGGAAGATCATCATTAATTTACTAAGTATTTGGAATAATTTGGAATATAAGACAACAGAGAAAGAGAGAGATACTATGTCAGCACTTGATATGTTTAGAACTGTAGGTATTTCAGCTCAATAGTTTTGGGAAAAAAATTCATTTTAAAACTATTAATATCAACAGTGTCCCCAAAACTGTACCTCCACTGAGTATCCAAGTGCAATGTTTTTACAAGATTTCTTTCTAAAGGTTTCCTGTTCTTGTCTCTCCCTTTGCATAGCTGTTTACAATTTGAGTTTTTAAAAATAAAATAAAAATAAAAATCACTGCAGCTATAAACCTGCCCCTTTAGTGGCTGATCTCAGACGAGGAAGTTAAACATCTTCTGCCGTCTATACATATACAGTGTTAAAATTACAAACCTATGTCTATTTTATATAGTTATTCAGAATTATAACAATTCTATTTGCAATATTTTTCTGATTTAATTGTTACCAACTATTGCATGACGTTAGTGTTCAAATGCCAGACAACATATTCCAAAGTAATTTCACACAGGTCTGCCTTGTTTATGAAATCATTTTAAAGAGGTTGCTGTTCTGGGGAGTCTCACATTTGCTATCATCTCTAAAAGGTAAACTGCATTTTGACGCCTTTGAAAATATAATGCGTCACATTATTTTGGCCATGTGCTCTGAAATGTCTGGCATCAAAAAAGCAATTTGTTTGTCCTTTTTTATTAACGCAATACCCCTAAATTGGACTATATTTCTAGTTTTCAATATTCTCCGACTTGGCATTAGTTAGCAGTGCACCCACACTGAATTTGATCTTGTACACGTTATAATGTTAAATCATTATTATTCTTTATAGAGTGCATATATATTCTAGGCTGGGAACACAGGGCGGACAAATTATTTGGCAGAACTTAAGGAACTCGATTGAGTTGTATTTGCCAGATATGTAGTTTGGAGTACAGTTGTGGAGTGCTCTAAAGGTGACCCTAATACATTCTAAATTTAATTGCAAAATATATAGTTAACCAGTGCAAGGATTGACAAAGGGAACATTTCTAAAAAAAGCCATAGGTAAAGAATACAAGAGATAAACCCTATGCAGAAAATCGAGGGGCTTTACCATACACACATGTACAAACTTACCGTCTGTGCCCTGATTTTTATTTTTTAAAATGTCGGAATAGATTTGTTGTATGGGCATTTTTAAGTTCATGGTTTTCAGTTCCCATAACGACACTCTTAGCCAATCACTTGTGCCCAATGTTTCTCACTGCCCCCCTGTGTGCTCAGTATGGTGGTCAAGCCTTAATAGGAGATCACTGTGAGAGCAAATTTGGTGTTAAAAAACAAACAAACAGTAAAGTAAGCTTAAGTCTTCCACGCCCTGTCCCAACATCAAATTGTGCCACTGACTACCTCTCTGTGGTCCAATCAAATGCTTCTCGTAGAGAAGAATTTTATTAGACCATTTGACCGGATCAAAGTGCATGTAAGGGGATGTAGGGAGGGGAAATTGGAGTTTAAAAAAAAACAAGCATTAAGGCTATAAGAGACGGGGATGAGGGAGTATGGTTTTTATATGATTGTACTTATGAATCGTTTTTATGTTATACTATGGCCCCTGAAGATGTCAATATTGAAAAATAGGCATTGGACCAAACACATGTTCATTTCTATTTTTTTTGTTACATCATTATACTAATAAACCACATTTAAATCATCCTGAAGGTTCCTGATAACTGTGGACACAATTGGTTAAGTGGACCAATGGCTGGGTGGGTCCCTCTGCCCCCACAACATCGCAGAGCGCTTGTTTTTAACCTGCAAAGTGTGAGTGCATTCAGACTTTGATTTTATCTGTGGCTTTACAATATTACACTATTGCCTGTTTATTTTATCCTAGATCAGTTCCTAGCTGTATCTCTATTTAGTTTTCTGGTACTTTATAATAGAAAACACAATACAGGTTGCACCAAATACTGCGTCTAAAAAGTCCACAAATTCTTGGTAAGTTCCTATCTGGTAGC